AGATACTAAAACAAAAGGAATTCTAAGCTAAAATACTACACATTACTACGCTACAAGGCTCTAAATTTTACTACGCTAAAAGGGTCTACGTTTTACTACGCTAAAAAGGTCTAGATTTTACTACGCTAAAAAATAATTTAAACTAAACATAAACAACAAATAAATTTAATTGCGAATAAAACACAAAACAGCATGAAAGCACATATATATAAATGAGAATATTAACAAACAAATTTATTTGATAAATTTATATTTTTATATAAAACACTAAAATTAAATCCGGATAAATTTAAGATGCTAATTTCGGAAGAAGAAAAATACAAACCGAAATAGAACACATACAAATCAAATAATATGCATTATTATAAAAGTTTCAACTTAAAATAAATTGAAATACCTCGATTTTAGAATTTTCGGAAAGCAAATAGATCGAAAATTTGACTCCAAAAGCGTGAATCAACAATAACAAGAAGCTTACTCGAGTGTGGGACCTATGTTCTTCAAGTTTTATGTGCCGGGGGGACCCAAAAAAATTTTTTTTTTTTATAGTGGCGGACAGTTTTTGGACAGTGGGGGGACCAAGATAGAGGAGTAAAATAATGCTGAAGAAGAAGACGGGTGAAGAAGATGGAGGGTTTTTTATTGAGGGGTATAACGCCAGATTTTCTGGCGCTATATCTGTGTGTCAGTATAACGCCAAAAAACGTGGCGCTATACATTAACGGTGCAGTTACCGTTAATATATAGCGCCAGGTTTTTTGGCGTTATACATAGTATGGTAAATTTTTTTTTTTTTACACCTATTTGTATATTTTGAGTCCAAAATAACAACATTTTGGTTCCGAACTCTTTCAAAATAGAGCGGCTGATCATATTTAAGATATCCACGGTTTGACGAGGCAAGTATTTGTTGGAGCATCTTATATTTTAGAAAAATACACTTGTCTTTAATCGAATTTATACGAATTTCTTAAGTAATTTATAATATCTTGGACCACTCCATCTGTTACTTTAAGGCTTTGGATTGGAAGCTCAAATTTATTTCATATTTATATGGCAGCCTAGGTTCTTCCATCTTCAACCTGAAAAATCTGAATTAATCTGGTCAGCAAGTTTATAACAGCTCAGTTTACTAGTGATATTGTTTGCTTTATAACTAAGCCCGCAAGGTTTTAAAACGGAACCGCATTTAAGGCCGTTTACTTATAAACTCAGCATCTGTCCTGTATTTTCTTGATGTGAGATTCGCATAGAGTGTCACATAACCTGCTTAGGGACTCAGGCCCTTCGTTCAAGATTGCACGCAAAGTGGCTTTGATGCTAACCGTCAAGTCCACTTCGCTTTGGGTCTAAGCCCTACGGTTTTAAAATATGTTATTAGGGCCTAAGGTCTGTTTACTTATGTACCCAGCATCTCTCTCCAGTGGCGGAATCAGGAATTTTATCTAGGGTGTTCAAACTTGAAAGAAGTAAAAAAAAAATCCCGATAAAGGTTGTTCAATATATATTATATACCTCTAAAATTCAATATTTTACCTATATATACAGTGTAATTTTTCAACGAAGGGTGATCAGTTGACCACCCTTAGGGCTATGTAACGTCTCCCCTGTCTCTCTCGTGTTTTATCTATGTGAGATTTGTCTAGGATATCCCAAATTTAAATATTGAATAAAAAAAAAAGAAAAAAAAGAAAAAACAGGCAAATAGAGAAGACAGTCGACAGTGGCGGATAACAGTATTTAACAAGACTGAGCTGGAGGAAATATTTAAATGCCAAATAGGGAAGAAAAAGAAAAGGCAGTCGAATGGATAACGTATTTTTAAAAGAAATGCGATATCTATTTAATTATTTTTGACCTTTCAAGAGGAGTAGTTGGCTCTTTGGTTGGCTTCCTGTTTGAGTTTAGGGTATTTCTAAAGGCTCAAAGTGCCCTTAGTAAAGATAGATAGCCTCTCTTTTGAGGATTGGGTTACACAAAGGGTCAAAATTCAGTGACTTTATGACGCTTTAAGTTTTGTTTTTTTACAAGTGGCACTTTCTTATTTGAGTAAACAACTCTCCCGTTCACTTTTACTTGACATATATGCAAAAAAAATAGATTTTTAATTTTACTTGACACTTTACGCATACCAAAAGAAGACAAAAAAAAAATCATGTTATACCCACAGTATATATTACTCATTTCAAAGCTTTTTCTCAAATCCAATAAAATACGCATCAATTAATATGGGTATCATGATAAATTATGCACTTTATTTATTATTTCTTAAGGGGTGAAAAGTCAAAATGTACCAAGCAAAAGTGAACTAACGGAGTAGATTGATACGCTGTACTGGTTCTGTTCAAAGAAATATATATTATTTATTTATTGGTGGGTGGTATTTAACAAATGGAAAAGGTTTGTGATATGACTATTTCCTTGCATGTGGCAAAAGTAGAATAAAAGTGTCATTTGTCTCCTTGTTGCGCTTCATTTTTAAAAGTTTTTCTTCTGCTTTTTGGTGGCAAGAGTTATGCTTATAGATCAAAATTTACTTTTTTCTTGCGGATTCGAGTCGTGAAATTAGCCACTGATACTTGCATCAGGTAAGTTGTCTACATCACACTTTCTTGAAGTGCGGTCTTTTCCCGGATCCTGCTTGAACGCGGGATACTTTATGCACGGGGCTGCCCTTTTGCCCCCTTTTTTGTTTAATCAAAAGTGAAAAGTGTTATAAGACATGTTCTTTGGATGTTTAATCCCTCCTTTTCCAGAAAGAAGTCTACGAGACTCGAATTTCAGAGAACGATTAAACTACCAATAAGTATGTGCAAAATGACCCACCAATGAATATATATACTCGTAAACCCCTTTCAAAATCGCCTTTTCCTTATATCCAAAACTCAAAAATGGTAAAAATGAGTTAAATCCCGAAATCTGTACATAATATACCCCTAGGCAGAAAATGCATATCGCAATCGTGACGTGTACCTCAAGCGTTCGGGAAGAACACCCAAACGCACACCTATGCGATTGTGACTCTTAGAACGCATTCATGAAGAACAAACCCCTAACTCCCAGAATCCTTCTATGTGATCGCGCCCTATGCCACGCAATTGCAATTCATACCCCTGCCACCCAAATCTGGCCGAATTGGTTGGACAGATTATGTTTTCATGGACTAAATTTACATATACTTCGTAAATGGAGCCCGCAGACTGCTCAATGTTGCATGGATTGTGATGTGTGAAGTGAAATGAGAGAGAGATACAGGACTGCTAGGTTGAGGCGTTGTTTTCAGAGTAAATTGCAACCAGTAAATAGTAAATGGGAAATGTGGGTCAATTGCTGAAGTTTAGTAGTTAATAACAGACATAATATCCTAGGGGAAAATGCAGTTTTAAGCTCTCTCATTTTGTGTCTATGTTGGTGTGATGGAGAATATATTGGAGAATCAAGTCAGAAGCTAGTTCAAGCTTGTCAATTTCTTCACAGGAACAGACATTGTATATCAAAAGACCATTGTTTCATTTGATCAATAGTGTTAACTGTAACATCTCACAAAAAACTGGTGATTTTTTTGCTGTACAATTAATGAAGACCAACAAGCCATTACAAAAGCACTACACTGTACAACTGTGATTAACATGGGAAACCATGTTAATATTCAATAATACTGGAAGCTGTTAGCCGGATGACTCCCACAAAAAGCCGTGTCCTCCTTTCCCTCTGGCTCTGTTCTTGGTTTCACTAGCACCATCATTGACATGCATCAGATGATATCGATCATACCAATGAAAATTCAATCTATCCTGTATGCCCAGCCATGCCTATCCAGAAATGCGTGTACAGCTTCTTTTATGGCTAGATTTGGCACCAACTGGGACGTATAAAGTGGTTCTCGTGTGATTGGATCAAATTTTCCCACCTAAATTGGCACATTCAGGAATATCGATATAATACAAATCGAAGAGAATCTGAGATGCCTAAGGTGATGAGAAACAAATTTTACCTTCTGCAAATGGTCAAGGATCACTGCCCGCTCGTATGTAACCCCACTGGGAGTGATGACAGGGTCACGAAAAATATCAAGAGTGATTTTACAGCACAAGTGATCAGGAACCTGAAAATACTCGGTGTCAAACTATAATACAATGCAGTTGCTTTCAAAAGGGAGAAATCACTAAGATGGTAATGCTTGAATGCTCACCTCAGTTGGAGTATCATCTTCTGCAGCTCTCATGAAAACTTTGCCTACAGCTTCCAGTTGCTTCAAAAGAGACGTTGAGTTCTCATCTACGAGCCCTTCTATCTGAGAACTATCGAGCATATGTTTCTCCTTGAGAGCTAACTCACAGGATTCTCTGAGGCACATTACACAAGAAAAATAATGGGGAGACGACCTATGTAATTGGTATAAAAATAAAAATAAAGTAACGGAAAGTTATAAGTGACATAAGCAAGAGCTATTACTTCAAGTTCTGAAGTTCCCAGGAGCGTCTTGTAGATTCATGCTCCCACTCCAAGTACTTTGCTTTCGCAAGCTCTTCCCATATCTCTTCAACCATGTAACTTCCTGGATTCGCACCTCTTCCAAGGTCTAACGCCTAACATGATACATAAAAAGAGCTGTATCATAATTCAGCAAAGCAAACTTCCCTAAAATCATCCTTTCAACCATCATAATTTAGCGAAACGAACTTCCCTAAATCATAGTTTCAATTATGCTCATCAACAAGATCAACATACCCAATATATTCCACACGTGGGGTCTGGGGAGGATAGTGTATACGCATACCTTATCCCTACCTAGTGAAGGTAGAGAGGTTGTTTCCAATGGACCTTCGGCTCAGAAAGGTAGGGAGTAGGAGGAGAAGAAGAAGGATAAGAAGAAGCAGGGGGAGAAAAGGAGAAGAAAAAGAAAGAAAGGGAGGGGGGGGGGGGGAGGATAAGTAGTACCAAAATAGTAACAATAGGGGAATACGATAACTGAAACAAACTAAACAACACAATGTAATATAAATCTGAGAATAAGAAAGTACATGCGTACTACTAGTACTATTGGTAAGAAAAAGGGAAACCATCAACTACCTATTAACCTTCTACCCTAATCCTCGACATCTACACCCTCCTACCAAGGGTCATGTCCTCAATGAGCTGAAGTCGCGTCATGTCCTGCCTAATCACCTCTCCCCGGTACTTCTTAGGTCTACATCGACCTCTTCTCAAACCCGCCATGGTCAACCTCTCACACCTCCTAACAGGCTCCTAACAGGAGCGTCAACGCTTCTCTTAATATGCCCGAACCATCTCAACCTCAACTCCCGCATCTTGTCCTCCACGGATGTCACTCCCACTTTGTCCCGAATAATCATTCCTAATTTTATCTCTCCTGGTACACCAACACATCCATCTCAGCATCCTCATTTCTGTTAATTTCATCTTATGCACATGGGAGCTCTTGACTGGCCAACACTCCGTCCCATACAGCAGGGTTGGTCAGATCACTACTCTGTAAAATTTACCCTTAAGTTTTGGCAGCAACTTCCTATCACATAGAACACCGGATACAAGCCTCCACTTCATCCATCCCGCTCCAATACGATGTGTGACATCCTCGTCAATCTCCTTGTTACCTTGTATAATAGATCAGAGACACTTGAAACTACTCATCTTGGGGATGATTTGAGTATCGAGTTGCACATCCACGCCTGATTCAAGGGTCCCGTCACTGAATTTGCACTCCAAGTACTCTGTTTTGGTCCAAGTCAACTTGAAACCTTTAGACTCCAAGGTCTCTATCCAAACCTCCAACCTTGCGTTACCCCTGCCTCGTGTCTCGTCGATCAACACTATATCATCTGCAAATAACATGCACCATGGCACCTCCCCTTGGATGTGCCGCGTCAGCACGTCCATCGCCAAGGCAAATAAGAACGGGCTAAGAGCCAATCCTTGGTGCAGCCTCATCATAACTGGAAAGTGTTCTGAGTCTCCTCCCACAGTCCTCATCGAGTCTTAGCACCATCGTACATATCTTTAATCATCCTAGTATACGCTTCATAAGAACAAATGAACTTTGATAGATTTATCCAAGACTTGTTTGCTATGTACTAACAAGAAAAAAAGGAAAAGATTCATCCCAAACTCTTTTGCAAAGTCTATCACGTCGCCTAGCATCTTAAGAACAGAGATTAAGATATCATTTTGCCAGCACAACAGTGGCCATGAATAGTTCATGAATTATGGTTGGGTTTCTTATGCCAAGATTTGAAGTCACTGATGGTAGTATGTTAAACATGTTGTTGTAGCATACATTATTGTAACTTGAGCATCAAGTAGAGAAGTGTTTGATTACTGGAGTCAAAGCAAAACCCAAGCCTGGAAGCATTAATTTGCAGGAGTTCAATAGTTTCACAGTTTTAGATTTTTCCTTAGGAACACAACCATCTATGAGGAAATCTTTAGGTTGTAGTTTACATTTGGTGGATTGAACTAAAAAAATCCCTTTAGCACAATGTTAGTCTTGAAATCTTATTGTTATTTCTCCAGGTATTGTGTGAATGCAACGAGAAGACCGTTGACGAATAATGAAACAATTCATATATTGACATTTCGTGCTTATTTTCAAATGTCTATTTTGATATTCCCATCCGGTAACCACAGGATGATCCACAAGAAAGGTGGCAGGATTCAAACCTATTGCCGGCCTGCCCCTGACGTGAATTACCCTTTCCAGTGACTATTAGTAAGAGCAACCAACAACGAGCATATAGGTTTGCTACAATGATGTACAAACAATTATCTGATAATGTTTCTTGAGGAATTTATTCATTATGAGTAGGTAATATGAAATAATTCACTAGCTTTGCTTGTCATTGACTGGAATAAATAACATCCTTAATATCAACACTATTTTAAGTTGCGGTGATCTCACCCTTAACAAAAAGATGCGAGCCAAGTCGACCATTTTCCCCATCAAGCTCACCTCTCATCTATTGGACTAAAAACGTTACTTTGACAGTGGGCTCATAATATGTTAATAGCAAATGAAGTGAAAGTGAACTCAAGTCCCAGATAAATATCATAGTTAAAAATAAACATCAATCCAGCACACACAAAAACACTAGGTGATTTCTTCTTATCTACCTAAACTTTGGTGGGTGAAGTTACTCGGTGCCTGTGCTGGTGGAGATAGCAATTATCTAATGGAATAGTTGAGATGGGCACAAGTTGGCCCGGATGACACCGTTATCAAAACAAAAGAAAAACATAAAGCCGACTATTCTAGCATAATTAGCTTTTCATTTATCTCTGCACCTCACCTGACAGCTATTTCTAAAAACTTCATAGAGCGACTTTTAGAATAATTCACCACCATGATGATCCTAACACATATGAAGGATGCTAGGGCTATCCTGACACAAATGCTATTATCCAATAAACGTTTTCGGCACTTATCCCTGAGGTTTACAGTAAGCTTCTTCTTTGGTTAAAAAGGAAATTATATTGGAAGACCAACGGCGAAGAATACATGATTAAGGCCAAGATGTTCTTCACAAGCAAGCTAGAAACAGCACACTGGAGTGCACTGCAGACTCTCCAAAATGTTGCCGCACCTTGCTTTTGGAGGATCCGACACGCACCCGGCAACATTTTCAGAGAGTCTGAGCAATATAGGTTACTTTGCATGATCACTGAGCTCAAATCATAAGGGTGAAATTAGATCAAGTTTAGTTAAGGTTTGAACCTAAAGCATTTTTATGGAAAATGCAGACTCAAACGAAATGATAAAAGGCTCAGAAACTTGCTTTCTGACAATCAGGCCTGCTAACTTCATATGTTAAACTATCGAGAAATGAGCAGTGACAATAGCAGCCACACGACATCCTTACTTAAAGAGTTGCATTTGGATTAAACTAGTATGAACATGAAAGAGGAAATTATAATAGCACGAAAGAGTTGCCTACTTCATCACATTATCATTTTCATTTTGGATACAGATTAGGCACCACAGAGTGCCACGGCCACAGAAGTGTTAAGTACCAATTTGATGTATAGACAGTTGCAAGACAAATATTTAAACATGTGTAAGAGACAATGGCTTACCTTTTCCAATTCCCTGACACCTTCAGCATACAATTCCTTTTGTAGCAATGCAAGACCAAGGTAATAATGGGCCTGTACTCCCAGAATTCACTCTTTAGGTCATTATCTGTAGGGAACAGAGAATTTCTAGCTACACCAACTTAGAAAGACCATAAATTCAGCACATAAGAAACAGAGGTTTTCTAAAATTATTCAGCTTAGTTCAATCTGTGATTATGTGGATGCTCTAATAAGATAAATTATCCTTCTAAAACTTTGACGTTGCAACAACCTTTGAAACAGTAATAAATTAACAATCTCCAGAATTTACATCATTAAAACCTCCAGAGAATCTAAGCATTACTCTATGCGAACAGCAAGATTGCAAGAATACCATATTTGAGTTGTTTCCACAGTGATCCTATTAAGGTAACTGCTGTCTCAGCATATGACTTCTCCGGTAGAACAATAAGGATTTCACTTCATTTTCTTTCTTCATACTTAATCGTTATGACCATAAAGATTATTAATATCCATGAGAAGAAAAGCTAAATTTAGTTAAACACCAAAACACGCCTAGTCCATCCAAAGAACAAAGGAAATAAGAAAATATCAACATTGATAGAACACATATATAGTTATATGAATTCCCCACATTAGAAAAAATGTTAATTTATGCTAAATGTTACAAAGTTAGCACCTTTACAGAATTGTGATCAAGCTGAATAGCCTTTCTACAATCCTCCTCCACTCTTTGCCAGTCACTACAAACCAACAACGACAATAATAAATGAGCATATACAATAACATCATCAAAATGCCCAAAAGAAATTCTTTTTGTGACACGTACTTTCGCTTCCGATGGCACAAGGCACGATTAGTCCAATATATTGGAACATTAGGGCACAATGTAATAGCCTACAAAGTAAAACATACAGTAGCATCAGATATGTTAGAAGAGTAAGAGGAATATTTTCATATAACCTAATAGTAAAAAAGACCTCAGTATAAGCATCTATGGCAGCCCCAAATCGATTCTTTTGAAAGTAACTGTTGCCATCTTGCTTCAGTTGCTCCGCTTGCTTTGAACCCACGATCGGTGACATTTTTTCCCCTTTTTCTTTTTTCAGCGATCTCTATACCCGCCCCCGCCCCCCGCCCCCCTCCTTTCTATTTCTCCGTCCAAATTATATACCGGCTATAGATACACGTATATACAGAAGATGTGAAACACGAATATTTCTGGGGTAGAGTAGAGAAAGAGATAAAGGGCTGGAAAATTAAATTGAAATTGAAATATAGGAAGAAATTGAGCGGCAAGAGGGAGAGGAGTCGTCGCGAAATTTCAAGAGCATCGCATACCAAATGTGCAGAAAGGAGAAAACAGCGATTGCGTCACATATATGATGCCGAGCCAAGATGTCACAATTCAACGTGATTATTGGGCAGGCTAACCAGCTTTTCTATTCGTCCATTAAGAGGATAATTAAAGTACAGCCATTTATCTTTTGGAGCCATTTAAAGTTATTCCCCGTGAAAATAACCATTAATTTATTGCATAAGGATAGGTTTTCTACATTATACTCCTTGGGATGTGGTCTTCTTTGACCCTACATGAATAGGCAATGCTTTATGCACCGGCTAACCTTTTTTATTTTAAAATTAAGTACATCGCATAAAAAAATACGACCTACCTACGCAAATTTATTAAAACAATTTAAAATACTAAAAGGGATGAACCCGCTTAAAATGTTGACAAAGCATAGTGTAGTAGTCAAGCGAGGTCCAAGACAGAAGTTTTCTGAGTTCGAGATGCGGAATATGCAAAATTATTATTCACTTATGTTTTTTGAAGTCATGAACAAAAAAAAAAGTAACAACAAAAGATTAGACTATAATTAGATCTCTATTAATGATAAGATTTGTGTTGCTTCCAAACGCACACGCAAGTATACGTGGTCGTACAAGTAATAAAATGATAAGTCAAGTGTCGAACACACAGAGACTTGTATCAACTACACTAAAATCACCAAGATTGCTATTTAGTCAAGCTAAAATCAAGTTCAAGAATTTGATTATAGTAAATTATAATTCTAAGTAATAACCAAATTATCAAGCAGTAAAATAATTGATATGTATTCAATAGGGACAAAAATTCCAAGGTTGTGATCGATTCACCAATCTTATTGTGTTCTAGTTAACTCTCCCTCTCATACAATTCACTCATGGTTGTTAATTAATCGATAATTGCTCTCATAGCCTTCTCCCGAAGTACTACTCGCCTATTCAAAATAGATTAACGCCTATATTCCTATGGAATCAATCTATTAAGAACGCATCAAGATTACGATATTTAATTAAGCACGGTGACTAGGTATATTCCTATCATAACCACAAATTCCCCCCCCCCCCCCCCCCCCAAGAGGTAAGATCATGCTCTCTTCAATTCTTCTCTAATCTAAACATGACTTTCCCAAGCATATCATAGATAGTAAATAGAACCTAACTGTTGGCTAGACAATTAAGCAATTAATCATAGAATTGAAGAAACAACCATATATTAGTGAATTGTAATCAAGTTTAAGTCAACGTCAAACAACAATATTCACGGCTAAATCACAACCCCAGAACAATGGGTTTTTAGCCATTCATGATAATAGCAAACAATTTCATAAGTGTTGAATAATTAAAAATACTAGAAAAAGATGAAGAAAACTGAGATCTCTTCGCTTCCGAATTTTTCTCGTGTGTATTCTCCCTCAAAAGTGGCGTCTCCCCCTCACAAATAAGTTTAGTCTTGCTTTTATACGTGTTGGGTTGGTCTAGGGCCGAAATAACCGTGTCCCGGGCAAAATTGGAGAAACTTCACGTCACTGACGCCCTGGCTAACGCCAGGCACCCTCCACGGCGCTGACTGCTCAAGTATTCTGTTTCTGGCGCCACAGGTAGGGCCGGGCGCTGCCTGTGGCGCTGCACTGCCCAACTTCCCTGTTTTCGTCCATTTTGGCTCTAATTTCGCGCATATCGCCCCCGATTGCTCCCGGATCATTTCTACACATAAAAACACCTTAAATTAATATAAATTAATACATTTCACATCCTAAATTCATGAAACAAAAGTAAAATATGAGGCGACATACATACAAATATATATACTTTAAGCTAAACATCAACACCCCACACTTAGAATCTTGCTCGTCCTCAAGCAATGGGACTAACAAATATACCCCCAACAATGTATAAGTCTCAATTATAGAGGAGCACTTTAACTTTTAACCACACACTATACACTTGACTATGATCAATACCGGCACACAAGCATGAACATACAAAATTTCACATTCTTCTCGTTTAAGCATGCCTAAGTACAACCTTTCAATTCAATAAATTCCAACAACCTATTTGTCAACACCCAACCTCAAAAGCCGACTTGTAACCACTAAGCACCCTCAATTCACGCACTCACCCAACAAGAAAGTTTACAACATTACCAATCATTCATGAGATCATGTTCCCTCACCAACAAACAAAAGAGTGAATATAGATTAGTCCACACATTCAAATATGCTTTTGAATATAGATTAAGGATATCACACAATCGAACAAAATTCGCTCACTCTCACAAAGAATCCATATGCATCCCATGGTCGTACCATAAGCTTGCCTGTAGTGTATATCTCTACTAATTTAAGCTAGCCAAATCTAGGATTAATTAGGACTTTAAGGTTGTAATGTAGGCTAAGGGACGGGTATGATACATTTAGAAATAGTGACTAACCCTCCTAAGCACTTTAATACACTACATTCACAATTCAAGCACATATTCTTCTCAACCAATTCACTTGCCACAAACCATATACAACATAGCCCTTACTTTCATTAAGCACTTCTATACTTCCACTAGCACAAATTATTAAGAATTGGAGGTGTGTATTCTTTTTTTTTCTACATACTTTACTATCAATTTTTCTTTTCTTGCACTTTTTCTTTCGTTCCCGTTTTTTTTCTTTTTCACACACTCCATACATTAAAGTTCATCGACTAATGACTTTTGATTTCAACTTTTAGTGCACCAACGGGCCCTCCATGGTTCCACTCAAAAAACTACTTCTCAATATCTCACCTTACTTCTTTTAGCGACTAAGTGCCTTAGGAGGTAAAGGTTCAATCAATATCAAACTAAGAACAAAATAGAGGTATGGCTTGTAATGCGGGTGCCAAAGGAAAGGTCTATAGGCTCAAAGGGGCTAGCAACGGAAAATTTTATTTTTATGTGATAAGCACATCTATGACCAAGCACGAAAATGCCTACTTCATCTCCTAGATTAGCACAACTTACAATTTCGCTTCGATTAACACACGGGGCAAGTTCTAGACTACACAGGATAGCACAGAAAATCATAAATTCTTTCACACACATTGCACATGACTCAATCAAGACGGTTCTGTTCAACTCTCAAGTCAAGCAAGCACACATAATTGAGAAAAATTAAGCGATATTGCACTATGTGGCATACAAGTCAAACAACTGAGAAAAGGCGTCACAAAATAGGCTATTTACTTTACTTAGACGTCACAATTCAAACCAAATACACGGGAAGATAGAATGTATGTCATAGCCTAATGTGCCAACATCAACCCTGTCAATGAGTATCTCAGAGCGACTCAGTTTCTTCCTAAACTACTCCTAAAAAAAAATAAAGTACCCGGTTCGAGCTACACCCTTGGAAAAGAACTGGTGCCCAAAGAAAAACCAAGGGATACTACCTAGCTATCCTAAAAACAAACAAAAAATCTTTTTGGTGTTTTTATCCCTCAAGAAAATTGTCTAAAAGATCCATCGTCAGGAAAAGTCCGAGCTTTTTCAACTTTTTTTTTTTCTTTTTCTGTATTTTTCTACTTTTTTTTCTTTTGGTTAAAGCAGCTAAACTAAAACTAGACTAAAAATAAAACAAACTAGACTAAATAATAATAATTGAAGAAACAATAAAAGAAACACATTAAAACTACTAAAAGAAACAAATTAAAACAAGTTGATACAAGATATACAGCTACAGCACAGGTAGTATTCCTCCCACCCCACACTTAAACTATGCATAGCCCTCGATGCATATAAAAATATAAAACAGAGTAGGGTGAAAAGAAAACTCCCTGTCAATCAGAGTCCTCCTCCTCAGCATGCCCTCCATCAGCAGCTCTGGGCACATCATCATCCGGTCCTAGAGGCACCAAAGCCATGGGCCCCGTAACCTCATCACCAACCTCGTCTTTTGAGTCCGAGACCTTGACAGTGTTGATGTCCTCCGATGAGTGAACGGGGCTTCTAGGTGCAATCCCCAACATCTCCTTGGACGAACTTGACAAGTCATTGCATAAATGCATACGCTCCTCGTCTGAAATACCAGCCCTGCTCATGAGTAAATTCAAAGAATTATAGAGGTGCCTATTGAAGTTCTCGTCTCATTCAATCCGTGCAGTGGGGGTGAGTTTTGACGACATCTCTAACAGAGATGTGATGTCCAAAAGCCCTAACGGAGCCTCTACCACCTCGTCATGTCCTGGATACTCCGGCGCCTCCAGGTAGAGCATATATTGGGGGAGTAGGTTGCTAAAGAAGAACTTCTTAATATGCCGCCCAAATCTCGTGCGGGCCATCTCACCAAGCATAATCTCACCCACATTAATGGGTCTGCCAGTCATCAAGAAGAATATGACACACCCTCTAGCTCGAGTGCAGTCGCTGCTCTGCTCCACTGGCATGAGTCTGGCTTGCACAATTTTTTTATTTTTGATCGAACATGTACAAGTGTTGCACTCCAAAGCTATGGGTACTCAAGACTTCCCCATGCCACACAATAGAAAAAAGGCACTAATCAATGCCACACAGATAAGTGATTGATCATGACTTCGTGAATTCACAAGGTAAACAAGAGGCATATGGTACTCACCTTGCCACAACTACTAGACTACACTAAATTAGTTAAATTTACAAGATTCTACAACATACATTATATAAGATAGATAGCGTAGGAACATGTTTTGCATAATATCCAAACTCACTAGCATGTATAAGCATCCCTACACACCCCACACTACGCCCAAATTCATACACAAATATACTCGGTTACTCCGACTTCACCGGTACACCAAAATCTTCATTCAAGCATTTTAACAAACACCTTGTGGGCATAAAGTGTGTGCTTCTAATTCAACAATGGTGGACTATGGTAGCTGTCACAGGGGCGTTTTCTGTCCGCCAAAAATGCTGCCCGCTGTGCGGCAGTCAAGTCCCCGCTTAACTTCAGCCTTGCCCGATTTTCTTTCGTTTTCGAGGTTTAACACTTAGAATCAATTTAAGGCAGCATAAAATAGACGAAGGCACACAGATTTACTGGAACCCTTTCCCAACCTTTTATAATAAATCAATTACAAAGGAAATTCTCGAGTTTG